TGAAAGGCCCCCCTTGTCTTTGGTGAAGGGTCCAACACCATTCTCTGAGGGCCATAGGGTTCTGGCTGCTCAAACCAGAACCACAAGCAAATGTGTCCATTATGGCCATCCCTGGTGTGAGCTGGTAGAGGAGATGCCCCCTTCCCTTTCATGATCATGGCCCTGGGGAAAGGAGGCTCCTGAGCCCCTCCCATTCTCCTCCTCTAGTCTATAGTTTCCTTGGTGATGCCTTAGAAAGATGGGCTTTGAGATTTCAAAACAGAAACATAGAAGGAGCAAATGCAGGCAGGACTTCCCACGTATCTGCCTTCAAAGGACTTCAGTGTCATATGGGACCGTATGACTATGTTGAGGATTTGATTCCAATAAGAAGTTATCAGTAAACAGAACGGACCCTGCAGTGGAACACCTACATCATGAATCCCTCCCTCCCAAAACCTCCTTGTGCTGGGGGTCGGGGGCACCTTTGTCCTTTTTCCCTCTGAAGATGCCCCTTTGTATCTACAGCAATATTGTACTCAGCATCCACAGGACATTTCCACTCTCAACCCTTGTCCAGAGAAAGAGCAAAGAAACTTTTAAGCTTTATACTCCAAGATTGATGGAAGAGAAAACAAATGCTTGAAGATCTTCTACCAAGGCCCACTGCTCTGATAGAAAACAAAAAGTCAGGCGAAAAGGCCTGCATTGTCCAGCATGCCATACACTCAATTGTGAAAACCGGGTCCTCACAGGACTCTTAATTCCAATTCAGGCAGATCTGAAGGTACACCTTCTGCTAAACAAAAGCATCTGGAGTGTGAGCATAAACAGTGCAGAAGGAATGCAGGGCACAGACTCACCACGCACTGATGGGGAACATAAAACGGGTTTGCGTAGTAAAGTTCACACTTCTCGGGAGTCTGTGATGGTCACGTCTCCCCCAGACTTTAGCACAGATATATGCTAGGTCCATAGGTGGAGACTCAGTATTCATGGGATCTTAACCTTTCTTTTCTCTCTGCATTTTTAAAAAAGTATGTGTGAATGTTTTGCCTGCCTGTATGTATGGGCACCATATGCATGCAGTGCCCACAGAAGCCGGAAGAGGGCATCCGATCCCCTAGAACTGGAGTTACAGATGATTGTAAGCCACCATGTGGTTGCTGGGTACTGAACTAGGGTCTTCTGCAAGAGCATCAAGTTCGTTTCATTGCTGAGCTATCTCTCCAGCATCTTAAGTAGACCCCAGGTTGCTGAAATTCCTCTGTGTGGAAGAAAATCTAAACACATAAACATTTTATCAAAAGCAAATATTCTCCAAATGGCTCCCTTCCGTTTCACGGTGCCCTCTTCAAATTATTCCATGTCTCTTAGAATGTACACTTTGCCCAACACTAACAGACCAGGACAAATTTTTAAGCATCCAGGCTTCCATTCTGTCAGATTTAGCAACTGACACTATACTGAGTCCCAGAAAAATACGCTTTCCTCACTCAATTACTGCAAACAGTTTTTGGCAGGTAATAAACAGGTTTATGTCTTACAGACTTCATAAAATCAGAATCTACAAAGTATAGGCTAGTCACCTGCAAGCGGGTCCTGTTGAAATGCAGCTAGTGGTTAATGTGAGTTTGTTGCGAGGTACAGCCCATGCCTTTGGCTTGAGAAGGACTGAACTACAGCATTTTTGATCTGGAAGACCCCCTAGTGAATTTCTTCAGCGAGAACATCAGAAGTGTACCAGGAGCCTTGTGTGGCTTAGATTCCAGGGTAAATACCCAGATGAATAAAGTCAGTTTCTAAACTCAAAGGTTCCTAGTCAACAAAGTTGACCATATGGTGTATCCATGGTGATGGGAACTTGGCCTGCTGAAGCTGCCAAGAAGGCTTCTCAGAGGTTGTGGCATTAGAATTAGCTCTGGAAGAGGAACAGAAGTGGAAACAGGGACATATGGGAGGGATGAGCACAGTGGTGAGGAGACAGGTAGGGGAAGACCCAAGGACGTGGCCCCCAGCCATTCCAGAGCATAAGGAGATGCAGAACCAGGCCCTCCGCCTCCCTGTGCTGGGCCGCTGCACCAGGCCAGGGAGCTGCCCCTCCCCATGATACAGTTAGCAGTAGCTTAAAGGAAGACTCACCTGACCTTGAACTTCACTCAAACTCTTGGGTTTTAAAACAACATTCAGAATGGTATTTCTTGAGTGGTTTTTATTTAGAAATGTACTTAGGAAGACGGTACTGATTTAAACACCCAAGAACGTGGACTCTCTCAGGAAAGGCCTGTGGAAAATAGAAAAATGCTCAGACCCTGGCCCACAAGCCTCTCTTTCACAACCCAGACAGACCGCTTAGCCCTGAAGTGAGGCCGCACGTGAGAAGTGCCTCTTGCTCCCACTCCTGTATTCGCAAGTTCTGAAGGTGCTGGAATGTTCTCCCCTCCCCTTGGCTCCTTTGCCGCCTTCACTGGCGACCTTGCCCCAATCCCCTGGCTTCTGCTGTAGGATGAGTTCCGGCAAGGCCCAGAGAACATGCCTCATGGTGCTGAGAACCGAAACCAGGGCTTCTGCAGGAGCAGAGTGTGCCGCAGCCCGAGGAAACCCTTTCTGTACCTCCTACTCCTCTTCTGGGTCGTCAGGCTACCATCCAAGCCCCGTCCCAGCATTCGCCGTTGTATCTGAGCACTCTGCTGCATTTGTGCTCTGATGCCCTCTCCATCCACCTGATCCCCTCACGCACTGTAATCCCTACAATTTGAAAACAGGAAACAGACCATCTCCATCCACCTGATCTCCTCACGCACTGTAATCCCTACAACTTGAAAACAGGAAACAGACCCAGGGAGTCTCCTGTACCATCACCTTCACTGTATAGACAGGAAAATGAGGTTCAGAGAGGGGAGGATAGTTGCGTTTGGTCACACAGCACAGTACTGGAAGAATGGACCCCAAGACATGTCCTCTTCCCCTCAGCAAGAGTTTTTCTCTTGGCCACGCTGCTGACCAGGTAACAGGTCACTTTTTGGCTTGTTCACTCAGCTCAGCACAGGTCTGAAATGTTAACATCTCTTTCATAGAGGCCACAGCCTTGGCTTTTATAAGACTATTTTCTTTTTAATTATGAATATGAGGGGATATATACACAGGAGTGCAGTGCCTGTCGAGGCCAGAAGAGGGCATCAGATCCTCTGGAGCTGGAGTTACAGTGAGCTTGTGAGTGCTGGGAATCAAACACTGGTCCTCTGCAACACCAGTGCACACTCTCAGCCGTGGAGCCATCTCTCCAGCCCTCAGTCTTGGATTCTTGATGGATCCTTGTGAGCTAAGAAGAACCGAACCCTTAATCCTGCCTGCCCTATCAGCCTGCTCCTCTCCTTTCATTCTTTCTCCACCAGCTCACTCTGTGGGCCGATGCCTCTGCGTCTCAGTTTCCCTTCCGTTAAGTGAGTACATAGAACTTAATGGTCTCTTAGAGTCCTTCAGCCCCTGAAAGTTCTAGAATTCTCTGCCCTTCCCTGGTCCCTCTGCTGCCTTGGTGCTTACTTCAGACCCCTGGCTTCTGCTGTGGAATGAGTTTCTGTAGGGCCTAAAGAGTGTGGCATCATGGACAGAGTATAAGCTTGAAGTCCTAAAGCATGTACTCGAATCCTGCCTCTGTGACTATTCTCTGTGGCCTTCAGCAAATTGCTTCATCTCTCTTGGTTGTTTTTTCTTTCTTATGAAGTAGAAACTCTGTGAGTGTGTATAAATGTGTGTGTGTGTGTGTGTGTGTGTGTGTGTGTGCGCGCGCCAGATTTGGTAACAGTGACGTAAGACAGATTTGTGGGACTACGTGGCCCGAGCAGATGTTCTGAGCACACTTGTGTCTGCTTTGTCCTGCACCCAGCATTAATGACAAGTGACTATTCCCAATGGACCATTTTTGTAGATATTCTGTTTACTAATTAGAGCAACAAACTGCTTAATATTTTATTAAAGTCTTTCTGAAATAATTGTGCTTCCTTGACATGTCACACAAAGTATTTGTCAGAGGTCCTAAGGAGAGTCAGTGGAAGAAACAGTCCACTCAAAAGCGGGCTGGGTGGCTGAGTGAGAGGAAGAGGGAAAGGTTTATGCCTTTCGACAGAGCATTGGTTTCTCATGCGGCCAGTGGAGGGTTTTAGTACCAGAATAACAGCATCAAGTTCACATCACAGGGATCCATCGGGCTATCAGGTGAAGACACTGAAGAACAGAGAATGTTAAAAGGAGCTGGGCAGTAATGGCGCACGCCTTTAATCCCAGCATTCAGGAGGCAGAGCCAGGCAGACCTCTGTGAGTTTGAGGCCAGCCTGGTCTACAGAGCGAGATCCAGGACAGGCACCAGAGCTACACAGAGAAACCCTGTCTCAGAGAGAGAGAGAGACAGAGACAGAGACAGAGAATGTTAAAAGGCCACCCACAGGCTGCCATAGCAGTCCCAGCTAGAGACAGGGGGTGATGGTGAGGGCGCAGAGGGGTATTTGGATATATGGGAAGTGAAAGAGAAGGCAGGAGAAGACACGTTTGTGCATGCATGGAATAGAACTAAAGATAACCACTGTTCATAAACCGTACTTCCTCCAACAATGTTTAACTGCAGTGCTAACCTATTTATAAAGATACATAAATGGTTTATAAAATTGTGGCACAGGGCTGGGGATGTGACTCAGTGGGCAGAGTGCAGACCTACCATGCACAGCGCTCTGGGTTCCATCCTCAGCACTGCATAAAACGGGGTTTGGTTGTGCACACCTGTAATCCCAAGGTGGAGATAGGAGGATCCAAAGTTCAAGGTTATCCTCCACTACATAGCAAGTTCAAGGTCAGCCTGGACTACTTGAGTCCCTGTCTCAGAAAAGTGTGTGTGTGTGTGTGTGTGTGTGTGTGTGTGTGTGTTTGTGCACCTGTGTTCAGGTGGGTCTTGGCACACAGGAGTCAGGAGCTGGGCTCTGCAGCATGAAGCCGTCTCCTCTCTCACCTCTCCCTCTCTTCTCTTCTAGAATCAGTGGATAACTGCCCCAGCAACTGCTACGGTAATGGTGACTGCATCTCAGGGACCTGCCACTGCTTCCTGGGTTTCCTGGGCCCTGACTGTGGCCGAGGTGAGCACTTACATGGGCCTAGCAGTAACTACTTCCCAGACACTATGAATATCTGGGGTGTACTCTTCAGAGGGAGCTTCAGACTCAAGCTGACTCCTGGGGTGCCTTGGAAGGACTGCCAGGAGCCATTCCTCAGTAGTCTGTGGAAGGGAGCTGGCAGGTTGAGCCGCACCCTACCAGCCACTGGTATCCAGCTGTGGACAACACTCGGGATAGGGCAGGACAGGAAGCGCTGTGTTCCTTGCTAGAACAGTGAGAGTGTGTGTGTGTGGGGGGGGGTCCTTTGAAAAATTGATTGCATCTTTAGAGGGACCATCATCAGCCCTTGTCAAGCACCTTTGATGTCCCTTCTCTCTGGCCTGTGGGTGGGAAGCACATGGAAGCCACTCCACGTTTGTACAGCACAGGCAGAACCTCATCTAAGACGCCCGCAGAGGGGTCTGGACATCTGGCCTCTCCTCTCATGCAGACCCTAATGCTACCTTCAGGGTATACACTGCTAAAGACAACAACTTTTGAGACAGTCTCAAGGCTACCTGAGACCCACTGTGTGCTTTTGGCCTACATTTTTGTCCCAGGAACGTGAACAGGGAAATTTCCAGAGATCTGTGGTCCTGAGAACTTGGTGTTCTCCACAGGAAAACCAAAATGGCCTCTTGTCTCGGTTTCTCCATCTCTCTACCCAGAAGCCACTGGCTTCATGTCCACTTAGGAACTCTGTGCTGTGCTGGAAGCTAGACTTAGCCCACTTGCCAGGCCTGGAGCTCCCAGGCTGTTCTGTGAGAGTAAACCAGCTATTAGAAAGCAGCATTGGGATCCCTGAAATAGAGGCGGCAAGTTAAGGGTGGGTATCTCAGCCAGGCAGGAAGAAGGTCCACTCAGAAAGGTATAGAGAAGAGATGGGGTTGAACCTGACTCTGAGGCTTGCGGAGTTCAAGAATGGAAAGCAGGGATGATTTCCCGGGCCAAGGCTATAGCAGCCTAGAAATCCTATCCAGGGTATAGCTCTGGGGACTCCGCTAAATAGACTTGCGCAGAGACAGCCACGCTGGCAGCCTGGGAAGCGTGGTGACTGCCTGCTGTGTGCTCTCAGAAAGGAAAGAAGCCAGGTGGGGCACAGTGAAGGTGTGCAGAGGGAGCTGAGTCATTCCTTCTGAGGAGAATTACCATCTCTTTCCATACACACTTCAAGTTAAGAGTCGCGTATATAACAGCCTTATTGTATCCCAGGTACGGGCGAGTACTTACACCACAATGCAGTATAATTTATCCTTATATAGTGTCCTTCCTAGAGATGATCACAAAACCTTTATGCTAAGAGGCAGAGTGGAAACCTACTTTAAAGAGTTAAGTTGGGCTCTGCTCTTCTCTTGAGGGGCTGGGATGTAAGGGACTGGAATGGGGGCCTGAAAGACACGGGAAGCGGAGACATGCCAGGGTTAGTGATGTTGCAGTGGCGGGGTTGGGGGTGGGGTGACAACAGAGAGCTAACAGGAGAGTGCTGGAAGGGTGATGCAGGCAGCCAGGAGCCACAGATACTGTCTTTTCCAGTGGTAATAAGGAACAGATGCCAGCCTCCTGTCTAAAGCTCCTGGCAGCCAGGGCGCTCCGTCTGAATCTGCGGAGGCTGGAGGAAGCGGTAGCACCTCTGAAGGCTGCTGGCCTTGCATCGCACACCTTCCCTTCCAATTCCAGAGGTGTTTCAGCTGGGATGAAGGAACACAAGGGAAGTGGATGATGGGCACACACGGGCGTTTCCGACAAAGCAGTTGAGGCTAGCAGCCAAGCTGAAGGGGACGGGGAACGGAGACCCAGGGCAAGGTGCTGGGCAGTGATTCACCCTGGCTCCCGGTGCTGTCTCTTCAGCTTCCTGTCCTGTGCTGTGCAGTGGGAATGGCCAGTACATGAAGGGCAGGTGCCTATGCCACAGCGGCTGGAAGGGGGCCGAGTGTGACGTGCCCACCAACCAATGCATCGACGTGGCCTGCAGCAGCCATGGCACCTGCATCATGGGCACCTGCATCTGCAACCCTGGCTACAAGGGCGAGAGCTGTGAGGAAGGTAAGACTCACACAGGCTTGCCTCTAAGGTGGAGGCCAGCATACAGCATGGGATAGCTTTTCGTGTTTGGAAGTCAGATATACCTCTGAGTCCCGGTTCAGTCATCTCTTCTTCCATAAAGCACAGCTACCTTCCTCAGGGGGCCCCTGTGAGGACTGAATTAAATAGCCCATATCAAGCACTTAGCTCAGTGGCTGACACCTAGTAATGCTCCATAAATGTGGCTGTTATGTTAGTAGCATTATTCTGGGGGTGACCAAGTTTCACCCTCTTGATTTCATCCGGAGTTTGGAAATGGATGGACTTTGCCATTTGTCAATGTAGGCACTTACAGTGATCACCTCCTGTTTCCTACCACCCAGCGCCCTGGCTCCTTCCCTAGTGGGAGGGAGAGGTTCCTAAGAAGGCTAGTCTTCTAAGCCCATTTAGTATTTAATGGAGAGCCTTCATTTACAGCACCATTCTTAAAAGAGAGAACATTAACAGACCTAAAGCAGGAAGCCAGGCGGGATCGATGTCTGAAAGGCATTGCCTGTCTCAGTTACACGTAGCCCTCCAGTGAGCCAGTGAGGCCTGATGTAGACCCCCGTAGCTTTGGGGATGATAGGAGCTATTGAGAGAGGAGAGCAGCCTCCAGAACACAGGAACCTGGTTTTCCTTACCCGGAGCTTGAAGATCTTCCGCTCTCCCTTTCTTCTGATCATGTGAGGTAGAGACCCTGCCCAGGAGAGACGTCTTCCCACTAGAACTAGGCTGTCCTACCTGAGCCCTGCCCATGTCCTGTTCCCCCAGGCAGAAGGACACTGGAAAGTACCCCAGAGCTGTGGGATATTTTTTCAAAGAGAAAAAAAAAATAATAATGTTTGGAACTTTGATTTATGTTATCTATTTGAAATGAAGTGTTTTTCTTCCTGGTCTACTTTCTGAAGAGGGCCATCTGGGACTGATTTCTTTTACTATTTCTTTTTCTCTGCTACAAAACGTGCTTGCGCAGCCTCGTGTTTATAATAATGGTTTTTGGGGGTTCTACCTCCTCCTCCCTCCTCCTTGCCCTCCTCCCTGGGCTCTGTTGCTAACAGGTTCCCCCTGTTTATAAAACATCAGCTAACAAGCCTGTTCTTTTCTCCCTCTTCCTTCTTCTGAAGTTTATGGCCCCATATTTTTTAAAGCTTGAAAGGAGCCAAGGGTGGGATGCTTGAAGGGGATGAGGGGAGGGGCGGGAGAGTGCAAACTTAGATCTTTTGCAGTGAAAAGTGAGACGCTGCCTTCTAGGTCCTGAAGGGCATCTAATGGCTTGTGTGGTCACTGAGGCATGGAACGTTTTGGGGGAAAAAGCCTGCGCTTGCAGCCTGGCCATGTGGGCATCGTCATTCATTAATGGGCTGAGCTTCTGCCAGGAATCTTGGCTCTGAGAAAGAGGAAAGGGGGCCTGTCTGGCATGCCTTCTAGAAAGAATCTAAACCAAGTTAGCCCACCTCCCAGACACCTCCTCCCTCCCAGGCATGCTGGTTCCTCCTGCATTACGCACAGCTCCCAGGAGATAACCCATGTTCACGAGGCTGTCTCAGTGTGGGGGAAGAAGACAGCTTTATCTTTTCTTGGAGCGCCTGTCACCCAGAGGCCCCACAGGGGGCAGATCCAGGCCACTCAAAGCCTCTTTGGCAGAGGATCGCTGTAGCATAGCTAACAGCCCTCAGTTGAGGATTGGGGCTCAAGGCCAATGCCATTCAGTGAGTTCATCAAGTCTAGCAGGAGTGCCAGGAACTCTACCTTGTCCCTGCCATTTGGAACTCTGTGAGCCCCCCACGCTTCCAAGTTACTTAGAGACTTGAAGACCAACTGTCTTAAAAGGAGGTGACCCCTCACCAGCTCCTTCTGGTCTTTATTCTACTGAGACTGTGGAATTTTTGTTTTCTGGTTCCTGGGTCCCTCTGTGGAAAGACAGGTCTATAACGTCAAGTACATTTCACTAAAATTGATACCTTCCCAGCCTGCCTGCTAACATTGAATATTTACAGGATCCACACTGAGGGCACCCTGGGGTCCTCAGAGGCAGGGTCAACCAAAAGCAGGGCCAGGCACTCACAAGAGGGGGAAATACCTTCATAGGTCTCTGGGAAGGAACCGCTGAGTTGCTTCCTGTCAAGCTGGAAAGCTCTCTGGACCAAGGGAATTACCATAGTAGCCTAATGGGCTGGAATAATCCTTCCGAGGTTCTGGGATCTGAGGCCCGTCATGAGAATTTATCACTGTTTTTGTCTTTATTATTTTTAATTACCCGAACTTCAGCAGGTCATGCTTTAGCCGTTACTAAATGGTGTCTGGAGACCATGAGAGAAGAGTCATTTGCCTTCATTGGGCTTTATTAATTCCCCACATTGTCCTGTTTCTTTCCCTGTTTTGATTTGGTTTCTATTTTTAAAGCACTTCGTGTGTTTATGCAAGCATATATGCACAAATGTATTTTTGAACCAGTCTGATCACAAGAGAAAATAGCAAGTGATCTAGACAGGAGAGAGAGACTGAAATGTAAATTCCTTCTGTAGTGGAAAAATTACAGAACAGAAATAACAGGTTAAGTAGAGCTACGTAAAATGCTTGATACCGAAAGGTATCACCGATGAGCATCTAAATGAATGACGGTTCTTGCTACTGTCACTACTCGGATTTTAACGCCAGTTGCTCCTGGCCCCCGGCCTTCTCACTCTCCATTGAGACTGTCAAGTCAAACTCCTTTTAAAACTGAGATGACTGAAGAGTTTTCTCTGAAGACTAGCTTTCAAAACAAATGTCCCAGAATGCTCTCCTTTGAAAAGTCTCCACCCCTTTGTGCCTGTGACTCTTTTATACCCAGACCAGGTTTCCCAGTCTTTAGCATAAGAGTCAAATATTCTGGATTATAAATGAAATTAGTGCATTTAAATGTCTGAATTATAGATGAGCCCATAGTTTGCACAAGCCTCACTACTCAAAGTCCTGAGAGGATGGAAAAATAACCCTCTGTGACATTATAGTCCACATAGTCTCTCAGGTCCTCATTGTCACTTGGTCCTTATAGCAACCTGATAGGTAGGAATTGTTGGCCATGTCTGTTTTATAGTTAGAAAGTTCAGAGCTTCCATTCAAGGAGGGATCCTGTCTTAGTTCAATAAGACAGGCAGTACAGGAAGACACCCAGCATCTTGATCCACATGTGTAAACACATATACCTGCATACTCATGTGCATGTACCATATACATGTACACACACACACACACACACACACACACACACACACACGCCAGGAAAATCCTTTCTGCTAGAATTTATGTTTGTGACCTGGCATAAATTATTTACCCCTCTGAGCCTCAGTTTCCCCATCTGTGCCTCCCTCTCTTACTGCAGTTTTAGCAAACATTAGGCTCGGGGTGCCATGCTGATGCTTGATATAGGTTTATACTCAGTTCATCTCACAAGCCAAAGAGCAGAGACTTGTAGCCACATTTTACAGGTGAAGAAACAGCCTTGGGCAATCAGGAGCTCAGGTCTGCCATTCACGGAAGGCCTGCTCTTTACTCTACCTGCAACCTACCTGAGTGGACAGATCACTTTAACAGCATGCCCCTTCCCAGGAGCCTCACTCTGCTGCCCCGGTGTTCACTGTACCATCTTCCTTCCATGTCACAGTGGACTGCATGGACCCCACCTGTTCCAGTCGGGGTGTCTGTGTGAGAGGCGAATGCCACTGCTCCGTGGGATGGGGAGGCACCAACTGCGAAACACCCAGGGCCACATGCTTGGACCAATGCTCAGGCCACGGAACCTTCCTCCCAGACACCGGACTTTGCACCTGTGACCCAAGCTGGACTGGACATGACTGTTCCATTGGTAAATACGGGGGCAAGGGTTTGGCATGGGAGGTGGGAGGGTTCCACTGTTATGTGTGCCCCTCAGCCCTGGTGGGTGGTGTGGCCCTGCCCTCAGTCTCCAAACTGTGGACTCCTCATCTTGTGGATTTTTTTTCTTTTTCTTCCCTGCCTTCTACACTTTGATGCCTCCCCTTTGGGTGAGCAAAGAAGTTAAAAATCACATCCTCAACTTGTTCAGCCCTGGGATTCTGAACAGTGTTGTGTTGGGTACTTTTGTATAGCTCTGAACAGAATAACAAGAGAATGACTTAAAGGAGGAGAGATTCCTCTTAGATCACAGTGTCAGAAGGTTAGGTCCATGGTTGCTTGGGGCACACCATCCTTATGGTAAGAGTATGTGGTGGAAGACGTTCTTTACCTCGTGATGGCTGAGAAACAGAGCAAGAGACAGGAGGGGGACAGGGACATGGGGCCCACAGGGCATGCCCACAGTGACAGTATTAGTTCCTTGCCTGGTTGCTGTGATACAATACCTGATAAGCCATTTCAGGAAGGATTTATTTGGATTATAGTCCCAGAAGATTCTTCCCATTCTGGCATGGAAGATATGCCACAGGAGCTCAGCTGGAGGGCCACATTGTTACCAGTCAGGAAGCCTGAGCAGGAAGTGGAAGTAGGCTATAAGCCCACTCCCAGTGACATATTTCTTCCATTAAGGCTATACCTCTTAGAGGCCCCACAACCCTCCCAAACAGCACCGGCTAGGGGCATAGAATTCAAACACCTGTGCCTATGGCAGACCCCTCACATTCAAACACCTCACCTCATGGCAGTGACCTGCTGCCTCCAGCAGCATTCCAGCTCTCCAAGTTTCTAGAACATTCCCAAGTAGCATCATCATCTGAGGACAGAGTGTTCAGCAGACGAGCCCACAAAGGAACATTTCAATTTTAAACCATAGCAAGTGTCATTTATCAGCACTGACAGTGGCTCCTATGATTCGAGATGTATTTTACTGGGACTTATCTGGTGCCAAGGCCACAAGGGATCCTAAGAGAGCTGCAGGAAATAGGGGTCATGGGGAGCACCTTCCCCACCCTGCTATCCTTTTAGTTTCATCCTTTCCTTAGAGTGAGAGATAAGCTCAGTGTGGATGTTAGGGTCCTCTGTGCCTGCAATGCCTTTCTGGCTTAGAGCTCTACTGGACGGTAGTCACCATGAATGAACAGTAGTAGCAAATGTGTCTGTTAGTGGATGCAGCCCCAGGACTCAACATAGGTCTACCTACTTTCTACATCTGCTTGGTAAAGATGCACAGATGGATGGATGGATGCATGGATGGATGGATGGATGGATGGATGGATGGATGGATGGATGGATGGATGGATGGATGGACAAGCATATGACTGGGGCATCTGGTTCTACAAAGGGTAATTCTGTTGGTAATCTCTTTGTAAACACCCTCTGATTAGACCCTCCCAGTGTGGGGACTAAATGAGAACATGTGTGAACTAGCTCACACAGCAGCAGCCGCAGTAGATTTACATCGTACAACTCATGTCATCCATACAAAGCCTGTGGAAGAAAGAAATCGGCCTCCACCTTTCCAACTTACACCACATTCTAACACACCTACTGTATGCTTTTTTAACCAGATGGGATGGAGAGATAAGAAAGTACCTGCCTTGTAGTGTGTGCTTTCTGGGAAGTAGGGAAGGGAGACTTACCTTGAATCGATGTCCGACCACTCCATACTGTTAAAGCAAAGCTCAAATCAGCTCATTATGGTCTGGATCAACAGTTCTGATCATGATCAAGAGAGATGGCTATGATCTTTGGCAAAAACTAGACCCGTGCACCATTCATGCCTTTAGAAAAGCTTGAATTACCTTTCCTGCTGAATGGAGAATTTCTGTTCAATGCACAGTCTAAATTGGACTTTTATCCCTGTTTGCAAAGCTCACGTAAAGACATGATTGTGAGCACAGATGTGCAGTCTCAGGAAGAATTCTCTTTATATAGCTCTGTTTATTGCAATATAATAAATGGTCCCCTTAAAGCCACGCTGCCTTGTATTGTTCATTATGTGGCCGAAAAGCTAATTTACGATGGGTCTATAACCCGTGCCTTGCACTGTTAATCCCCAATGAAATTCCACAGCCTGGGCGGAGGCAGGGATACCTTTGGCTGAGCTTGAGTACTCTTCAGTTGGGCCAGCAAACAATGATGACAAAACCATTAGAAAAGGGGGTTAGAGAGATGGCTCCGTGGACAGATGCTGTGCAAGCGTGAAAGTCAATCCCTAGCACCCATGTAAATGGCCAGGTGCTACGTTATGTATCTAAAGCCCCAGCACTGGGTAGAGGGGTGGAGACGGGTGGATCCCGGGGGCTCTCTAGCCAGCCAGGACAGCTCCAGGTTCAGTCAGAAGTCTTGTCCCAAAAAATAAAGTTTCAAAGTGATTAAGGGAGAAAACCTCTGATTTCTCCACACATGTACTAACACAAACACACACACACACACACACACACACACACACACTACTGAAAAGGACTTTGAATAGATTCATTGATCTCACTCTTCTTAGTGATAGGCCTCATGGCCGTAGCTGATACCAGGCATGTATGTGGACTCACGTAGAAAAGCATAGGAGAGTCCCAAGCTGGGAGGAATCCCTGGGGCAGATAGACCTGGGTTCAAATCCTGGCTACTTACTAAGTATAACTTTAGACCAGTTATATCACCCCTTAAGCCAAAATAAATGGAGATAATGATAGAACCTACTTCTTTGTGGGAATTGTTTAAGATAATGTTAAAGAGAGCTTAGCTTGCAACTTGGCCCATGATATGTGCTCAATAAATGTTATTGCTAATTATGATTTGGCTAAAACACCCATTGGAGAAAGTACCAGATATTCACAAAGATATCTGATAGCAAAGCAAGAGGGAAGCTGCAGTGTACCTCTCAGAAGTATGCACTGTTCTCTTCAAGTCTCTAGTCTGTAGCTGACTAAATGGCCCTGTGCCTGCTGCCAGGGCAGGGATTTAGAGACGGCTGCTGACTTAGTTATTATTCCCCTAATAACTAACAGTAATAGTAATGACGTACTGTGTTTGTTGAGTCCCCCATGGTACACCAAGACATTTCATATAGGAACACACACACACACACACACACACACACACACACACACACTCATACACGCTCACATACACTACACACACACACTCACACAAATATGCATACACACACACAGAGAGCCATGAAAGACAGAGGTGGTGGTGAGCACAGACTCATCTGCGTGCCTGTGATAAGACCTGGGTTGGCTGTGACTCACCTAAGGCACACTGGAGTCAGGAGATGAGAGTCAGACACACGCCCTGGGTTCAAGGACTAGCCTGCTTCTTATGGCCCCATGCTGCCTCCTTCCAGGCACTATCACTCCTCGGCTGTCACTTCACCTCAGGAAGCCAGTGGTTCTGCCACAGACGAGCTGTGTAACGCTGGCTGGGTGACAGACGCTTCTTCAGTTTCCTTCTCTGAAAGTACAGAGGCACTAATACAAACCACAGTGGGTGTGACATCAATTAAGTCATTTTGCACAAGCATAGTGGTGACCATCACAGATTAAGCACGTGATGTGTTTCTATAACCTTCCTTCCAAGGACTTTCACTGAGAAGAGCCGTTCATGAACCATTAGTGAGGCCTAGCAAGAGACACCTCATTGCCTGGACCCACGACAGCCAAGAGGCTGTCTTCACGTTCAGGGACCTTTCTCAAGGACTGTGGCCTCTGTTACAGAGCCCTAATAGGAAGCCTTGTCGCCCTTCAGCAGCCTCAGCCAGTGGCTGAGCCCCTTCAACCCCGTTTTCTCCTACATTCGATTTACCTCACAGACCTGTTGTGAGGACAGGTGAGAAAATGTCGGTGAAGTAGTTCTCCCAGAACCCGGCACAGCGCTGCCTGTGTGATTTATGATTCCTGCCGCCTGGCCCAGGAGGTAGGCACAGATACCCAGAGTCTTCGTCGGGAGCTGCAGGCCAGCGGGCTCATCCTAAGCAATCCTTGCACCATCCGCAGTGCAGACGGCCAAGCTGATGGGTTGACAGAGATAGCCAGGCTGGCTGCCTCCTAGGGGAAAAGACTGTCTCCTCCATGCTATGAGCGTCTGGCACCAAGAACAGCATTTAATGAAGGTAGCTTAAGTCAACATGCCCCGTAATGAAATGTGAGCTGACAGGGTCCTCAGCACTTTCGTGAGGACTGTGGAAACAGTAAAGGCAGATCTTACACAGCGTTTACTCAGGTCCTTGCTTCCCAGAAACATCTCCTCAAATCCAGTCTCGTTCACGTGGTCCTCCTTCTTGACAAGCCAGATAAGGTAGCTGGGGTCAGAGTCTCAGAAGCCACGAAGTCAAATCTCACCTCAAATATGCCACTGACTGAATCCTTTGCGATATTGATGCTGATGATAAGGGGATATGATCTCCACCCCCATTTTATAGAAAAGAAAGTCTTGGGGAGGAGATGGCTTTTCCAGCTTTCCAGAGACTGAGTTTGAATTAAATCTGGCCTCTCTCTATCTAAGTCTTCAGCTCTTGCTTCAGACACTTTTCCATCAAAAAGAGGTCTCCTTGCCAGTATCTTGCCCTTTTTTGACAAGCAGCAGTATAGACTGTTAATCTACAAGGCCATCTATTTCTTGGCGCTCACTGCAGACCAGCCATTGAACTGCATGCTCTGTAGCCATTATGATGGCCAGAACTCATAAGAGCCCCGTAAAGGTAGTTGTGATATCGAGGGTGATGTTGATTGTCAACTTGGCAGGGTCTAGCACAGTCATGGAAATGAACCTCTGGGTACATCTGTGAGGCGGTTTCTAGACGAGATCAACCAAGGTGGGAAGACACTCCTTAAATGTGGGTGACACCACCCCACGGGCGGGACTTCCCAGGCTACATAAAAAGCAGAAAGCCAGCTGAGCACCAGTATTCACTGCGACTCTGCTTCCTGACTG